AATGAAGACCATGCCCCTGACTCCACCCTAACTCCACCTGCTATGAGTATTATAACTAGATGTTGCAATAATATGAATATTCATGTAAAGATGATGTAATCTCTCACAAAAATTGTATAAATAGTCCAGCTGTTCACTAATTGCTTTGGAGCTCTTTTGTCCAGTGTGAGCTGGGACTTCCCCAATGTTGCCTTGGATAAATACCTCGCTGCTTAAAGACTAAAACTTTGTCTCTGAGCAGTTCCTCTGCGCCTTTTGGGGCACAAATTCAGCATCAGGAGCTGGGACAGCCCACCCCGATTGACCCCCACCCCCGTGGAGACTGGAGCAGCAGCTTTTCACACTCACCCTGCTGGCTGTTGAGAAAAATGGTGAAACCACGAGGGTTCAGCCACTGCAGAGCAGAGCTGGGGGCAGCGCTGGGGGGGCTGAAGGTGCAGTGCAGGGTCAGGTCTTCTCCTTCCTTCACAGTCACGGTTTCACTGCCAGCCCCTGGAAACCCCCCTGCCACAGACCAGAGGGGGGGAAAAAAACACCTCTTAAAGTGTGACAATAAACTTCACAAGGTTTTGTACACAGTAATATTGCAACTGTCCTTCTTCCAGGGGTTTTTCTGCACTGGGAGACTTGCCAATGTGGTTGTACTGATCTAAATCAATCACAGGCATTAGAGAGGTCAGTGAGGACTTGTACCAAAGGTTTGTGATCAGCACAACCAGATTTAGTTATTAAATGTTATTAACCATTAAAGAATTGGTAGTAGACCCATTTAATGCACTTGCTCCCTGCATGTTAAAACAAACATTCATTTTCTTTATTCCATTATTGGAACTCCAGTGATCTTTGAGGTCCCTCCCAACCCAAACCATTCTGTGATTCTGTAATTCTGTGTTTCACTGAGGAGCTGTTGAATCTGATTTGCAAGTGTGTGAGACTGAGCAGTGAAGGATTTTTTCAGCACCTCTGAAAAATGAGGCTTTTTTATTCAGAAATCATGATGCTGCAACTGCTTGGAAACTTCTTGCCAAGATAAGATCCACAAACCTGGCCTGGCACAGGTTACTAAAATGAAATTTCATTCTCTTCTCTCAGCTCATTTTACAGTAAAATGTCTTTTTCTCTCTCCAGACATTCTAAGATATATAATATATTCTGTGAAAATATTTGACCTGGAATGAATTACCTCCTCCAGGAAAAAAGCAAGCCCTGGAGAAATTCCTAAGAGCAGTGCCTGGGTTGGAGTTAAGTAAATAGGCAGTAAGAGGGTTTTGCTTTTCATTCCCTTTTTATGTGTTTTGATTTTATTTTCCGGGCAGCTCTTTGCTGCAAGTTCCTACTGCACATACAATCATTGCAGTTTGGGGAAATGAATCTTTCTGGGCTTTGGGAAAGCTTTTCATGTTCTTGAAGATTTTAAATATATCAGAAATGAAGGTTTTGTGGAGCATCGTTGCTGGAAACTGTTATTTTCCCACTGGAAACAGGGGAAGGACTTGTCTCCCTGTAAGATAGTTGTTACCCAGGGGGGTTTGTGGCCCTTGTGGAAGGAGGTGAAATGTTGTTTGAGTGGCAGGGGAGGGTTGTCTGTGGTTTTCCATGAGGACTTTCTTCATCATGATGGTTTCCTGTCACCACCAGCAGTGTGGGGTCTTTCAAATCACACCTCTGGAGGTGAGAACAGCAAGACTGAGGCAGAAATGGGGGTGTTGTTTGCTTTTCTGAAGCAGAGCATACATGTAATTTCCATGGGAGCCCATGGCTTTGCTCAGCCCATGACTCACAGGTCAAATCTTCCCTGCACAGGGGGCAGCTGGACCTGCTTGTGACCTTCAGTCACTGGGGAGTGGGAGATGCTCCTGTGCCAGCTCCAGGGCACAGGGGTTTTGTACCACGTGTGCCCCACTTGGAAAAATGAGTCTGGCATCAAATACAGTGAAATATCCACCTTCTTGGCAAGGAAGAGCAACAATTTTGTGCTAGAGATTGCAGGGTGCACTGAGCAGAGTAATTCATGCCTCTGGTTGCTGTTCTAAGAGCCCCCAGGAAATGCATTGAGAGCTCAGTGCACTGAGATGTGCACTCAGAGCAGAGCTCTTTGAACCTGTGGCCCACACAGACACCCTGTTTAAAGGGTTATTTTTGACCTGTGAGTGGAGCTCGAGTGAATTGTGCTGCCCAAAGCAGCCAGTGATGGTCAGCAGATGCAGGTTCATCTTTCAGGAGGAGGAGAGGGCTTGTGCTCTGAGCAGAAGCTTCTGAGGGCATTAGCAAAGTATCAGCAGCAGCCCTGCTGTGGTTTCTGCTCCAGGAACTGGTGAGGGAGAGGGACCACACATTCATTCCTCCTGCAAAGCTCAGCCTGCAGGAATCCTGAGCAAGGATCACTGTCTTGCTGGTTTTTTCCTTAAATCTTTCCCTGTCTGACACAATTAAATATGAATCTCTCACACTCTCCTGTGTATGAAAGACAGGAGATTAGCAAAGCAGGTGTAAGCTACATCCTCTAGCAGGAGCAAGGAGACTGAACATTTAAAGTGCTTTTCTTTTTGCAAAGTACTTTGCAAGTGCTTTTTAATCCTATTCTGACTTCTATCAGCCTCTTTTTCCACAATGCATACACAGATATCCAAGCCATGGAATCCAAGCCAGGAATCCACTGTCCCAATTTAAGGGAGAATCCCTTGTTATCTCAAGTATGTCACCAGCTGCTAGGAGGTGACTTGGTCTCACAGATCCTGGTTTTTGGAGTCAGCTGAGACTCAGCTTTGAGAGCAGGGTGAAAATATCTTGGTGTCAACCAGAAAACAAGGCAGCAAAGCTGCCTGGTGTGCTGGAACTCTGGGAATAGAGCTCTCCAGGCTGGACTGAGTACAAAGGGGAGGTGGAGTAAGATAACCCAGAGGGCTTACCTTGCATGAGGAGAAGAGCCACGGCGTGCAGCACCCTGGTGACAGTCATGCTGTGCTCTGGGGACAGGCAGTGCTGGCTTCCTCTCTCTGCTGGGGCTGCTGAGCAGCAGCAGGTCCCTTTTCAGCACGGGGGGGAGCAGATTTCCCGTGACTTCATCCCCACCAGGGTCTCTGCCCCTTCCCTTCTCGCCGCTGTTCCACTCTGCTCTGCCCCCATCTCACATTTCCCGTGTGTTGGCGACTGCTGAGAAATCAGTGACCTCACAGGGCCCCAAAATGAAACTGGTGGGTGACAGGATGGGGGGACTTTACCTGGCACCTCCTTCCCAGCCCTGCCTCGGGGGAGAGATCATAGAATCACAGAATCATAGAATCAGCTGGGTTGGAAGGGACCTCCGAGATCATCAAGTCCAACCCTTGATCCAACCCCGCTGTGGTTCCCAGCCCATGGCACTGATGCCACATCCAGTCTCATCTTAAAAACCTCCAGGGACGGAGAATCCACCACTTCCCTGGGCAGCCCATTCCAATGGCTGATCACCCTCTCTGCAAAGAAATTCTTTCTCATATCTAACCTAAACCTCTCCTGGCACAGCTGAAGACCCTGAGCCCTCTTGTCTTGCTGAGAGTTGCCTGGGAAAAGAGACCAACCCCCCCTGGCTCCCCCCTCCTGTCAGGGAGTTGCAGAGAGTGAGGAGGTCTCCCCTGAGCCTCCTCTTCTCCAGGCTGAACAGCCCCAGCTCCCTCAGCCTCTCCTCACAGCACTTGTGCTCCAGTCCCTTCCCCAGCCTTGTTGCTCTCCTCTGGACCTGCTCCAGGACCTCAATGTCCTTCCTGAACTGAGGGGCCAGAACTGGACACAGCACTCCAGGGGTGGCCTCACCAGCCCTGACTCCAGGGGAAGAATCACTTCCTTGGACCTGTTGGCCACACTGTTCCTGAGCCAGGCCAGATGCACAGGGGGGGAGCAGGAAAAGGGTAGGAGAACCATGGCCCTGTGATGCTCCAGCTGCACCGTGTCCAGGATTTCATTCCCAAAATGGGAAGGCAGAGCAAGGTCGCTCGAAAACCTGGCTGTGTGGTTTAAATCCCCGGGGAAAAAAAATGTCCTTGTGTCACTCTGCTCTTGCCCCAGGAGGTTTGTTTGGCTCTTTTTGCTGGGGTGAAAGAACGAGAGAAAGGTAATTTTTGCTGTGTGTGGTTTGTGGCTCTCCAGGGAGGGCAGAGCTTGGGTGAGGTGGTTGTGAAAGGTTTGCTGAGCACCGAGCATGGGGGGCAGGGATGGGGACAGTGAGCAGGTCCCACAGGGTTGGTGGCACAATTTGGGTTCCCCGTGTCCCCTTGCAGGTCTGATTATTTCAGGAGTGATCTGAGACTTAGAAAAGCTTCTGTGTCCCTCAGGTCAAGAGGGAATCACAAGATTTATCCATGTGTTTCATGGTGTAGCCACATGTGGTGACTTCCAAAAAGCTTTGGCACATCCTCTTTTGGGCTTTCTTTGCAACTGCCCAAAATTTAGTGTAAGTGGCTATTACTGTCAAAATAAACTGACTTTAATAAGGTCAGAATTATGGCTTAAAAGCTGTGTGCACTTGCAGGATGTGGGCTTGAGGGAAGTGGACAAAATGGTTAATTATAAATGCATTACTGGTTTGGTTTCTAATTTATTAGAAACTGTTTCCATTAAATTTTCAGGTGCAGGGAAGTGCATCAGTCTATTAGTGTACATTTGATTTATGAAAGTTATGGCTTCTATGTTAATCACAATATAATCAATTTTACTGGGATACAGAGCTGCAGGTCATGAATTCACTGAGTTGGTTTGAAAGGGAAGAGTCTCTCTGGTTGATAAAACTATGGCTGGATTAAAAAAAATCCAAATTAAAGTTAGCAGTGCTTTGGGTTTAGAAGTTGTGCTTCCATTCCACACATAAAATAAGTCTGGGGGGGAAAAGGGAACAAGAAGATGAGACTCCGTGGAAAACCACACTCGAGAGGGTTTTGTGCCATCTGCTGTCAAACGGATGAACTTCACCATCAGTGCAGGGAACTAAAACGTGGCTCAAATTCCAACACACTCCAGAGGAAAACTGGAATAGGAAGGGTGTTTGGCATCTTTATTAAATCACCTATGAGACTTCTTTTTTTTTTTTTGTCTGACTTCCGAGAAATCCATTTAATGTCAGAAGCGAATTAAACTGCAGTGGTTGTTTTAACAGTTGTTAGCACTCGAAACTGAGATTAAAAACAACCAACCAACCCCCCCCACCCGCCCCCAAAATAAAAAAATACAGATGTCACAGGTAATTACAGCTATTTTTGGCAATACAATTATTGGTTTTTTTAAACAGCAAACATTTTTTTCCCCCCTCAAATAAATACAATCTGCTCACACTAAAAGAAAAAAAACAACAACATAATAAACAGAATGCTACAACAGGTTGAAAATGAAACACCAGAAAAAGTTGATAACATCGAGTTTGAAGGGATGTCACTGAGAGAAACTTCAGAAAATATATTTGAATGGGAAATAATAAAGGAACTGGCTGTGTGTTTTCTGTCAGGAAGCATGTGCAGGGCATGAATATTCCCCAGGGAACGAGTATTTGAGGAAGTGGTGAGCAGTGAGTAGCAATTTAGGGTGTTTGCAGCCAATCACACCTCCTGCTTAATTACATTTATTTACTTCATTGATCCACCATTTCAAGCGTGTCTGCCCCCATCATCATCTCATGTGTATTTTTAACTTAAAAATAATTTCCTCTGTGCTCAGGCTCTTTTTTTTTTTTTTTTTTTTAAGAAACAAAGCAAACCACAAACCAAACTCATTCTTTGGTGATAAAAATTATCACTCTCACGGTAACATGGACACTAAAATCTAATATCAGAGGGGAGAAGGAGGCTCCTGCTCTCAGCCAACTTCTTCCTGAAACTGTTCAGTCTGAGAGAAAAGGGAAATAACTGTGGTTTTCTTAGGTTATTATGGTCTGGATCCTCATTTTGCATAAGAAAGCAAAACTGTGATTTCAATTTATGGTGTCAATTTGACTCTTTTATTTTTCTAACCCAACCCATGAGTTGCAATTCATGAAAATACTGAATTAACAATTTATTCTTGGCAGCTTCATTCCTTAATTAGGGAAAAATCTGGGAACTATTTGCCTCCTACAACCTGATGAGACTGTTGGGATCTGATGCAGCTCAAAGTGAAGGCAGGGGAAAGACTTGACATAGGTCAAGTCTAAATTTAGGACAAAACACTGGAGTGACTTAAACACACATTAATGAGCAGCAATGGAGTGAAAGTGAAGCAGCAATTGTTTTGTACCCTTAATTTCTCAATTAAAAATTTAAAAGGAACAATTTTTTATTCTTTTCCCCCCCCCCAGATAAACCTTACCAACATGAGACAACACAAAACCCCAAAGAGAAATCAAAATGCTAGAAGAAAATAAGATTTTTCTTTCTTTCTTGACACCTAATTGGAGACAAGACTACAATTGTCAAAATACTTTCCCAAACATCAAAAAATATACTTTTTTTTTTTTTTTAAAGAAGAGAGTATTTTACCACTACCTTCTCCAACAGAACATTCTTCTGTATCACTATATGCAAAGAGCAGCTTGTACACTATTCAAATTGTGCATTCAGGTTTTGTTCCCTCTCTGTTTCATGCTTCTGCTTAAAAAAAACCAACTTCTTTTAATGTCACTTAACTGCAGCAGGGGCTGAGCAGCCTCCACTGCTTTGTACAGGCAATAAATACTATAATATAATAATTGTATTGCCTCCACTGCTTTGTACAGGCAATAAATATTATAATATAATAATTTTATTGCCTCTACTGCTTTGTACAGGCAATAGATATTATAATATAATACTATTTATTGCCCAAATTACATCTGGCTGACCCCCAGCATGAAACAAAAAGCAATCTGGAGAATTCCACATCAGGAACCAAATTTCTTTTGGTGTGATTGTCAACTACTTAAGTTTTTAAGCGTGGAGGAAAACAAGCCAGAAATGCTCTTCAGGATGTCTTTACACAGCCAAAACCAGTTTAAATTACAATTAAAAATCAACCTGACAGTGATAAACCTGCCCAGGAGCAGTTTGCTCTGTCATCCCATGAATTATCTCCCTGACTTTGCAGTTACATCCCTGGGATAATAATGCACTTACAAGTGGCCCAGGGTGTGTTACACAGTCAGAAAGGTCCAAATCCCAGAATATTCCTACAGATGGTGACAGTGGACAGGATTTTGCACAGGGTGAGCTCTGTGCTGGCTGGAAATATGTACAGAATGTGGTGTTCAAGCTCGATTAAACCCAGAGAGAAGCTGAGCTAAACCCTTCTGGGTCTGGTGCATCCCAGTTTTGCCTCGTTTAGGAAGAGGGAATTGCAGTTTGTGACTCCTGGTTTGTTCTGGCTGCTGGAAGGGCAGCTTGGATGTGTCCTGGGGGAGGTGAGACCAGTCCTGCTGCAGGGCTGGATGGCTTAAAATAAATCAACACCAAGGCAACTCTGATCTAGGAATATTAAACCTACATCAAATTGGGCCAGTGTTGACCTGTGTGCCGTTCACACATTTCAAATGAGGGCCCTGACACTTTCTGCAGAGGAAAAGCAGGACAGAAGGATGCTGGAATGTCTCCTTGGTAGATCTGAATGTTCCTTTGATGCTATTTTTTTATTGTTACCTTGTTTTCACTCTTTGTTGCCCAGTGAAACTGTTGATGCCCCATCCCTGGAAGTGTCCAAAGCCAGGTGGGATGTTGGTCCAGTGGAAGGTGTCCCTGCCCATGGCAGGGGGGTGGAATGAGATGAACTTTAAGGTCCCTTCCAACCCAAACCATTCTGGGATGATCCTATTTCTGGGAATACTCAGATTTATGGCTCAAACCAAGAAAGGGCTATGCCTAAATAGCCTAAATCTCTATCATCCCACTCCAACACATTTTTAAGTACCTTCTGACAGTGATGAGATCCATACAAGTGTCTGCAGCAACATTTTCATCCAAGGCTGATGACTTAGATAATTCTAATCCAAAAAAAACCCCCCTGCTCTGATGCCACTTTATTCTCTAAACTACCCACTGTGGTGCATTTTGCATTCTCCTGTGACACAGCTGGCACTGGCATCCTGCAGGCTCTTGCACCAGGAGGACCCCTCTTGTGATTCCAAAGATTTTAGTTAAAGATGGAAACTCTCCTCTTCCCCTTCTCCCAAAATCCTAACCCTTCCCCCCCTGGATAAATAACATCTTCATAGGCTAAAGCATGTTGCTCCTAAATTTAAGTGTACTGGGGTTTTTTTTTCAGCTGCTTTGTCTTTATGACAGATGGCACTTGGGAATTAAGGATAAAGGAAGCAAAGCACTGAATTCCAGCATCTTTTTGAGTTTCATCATTCCCTCCTGGAGAAAGCTGCTTACTGCAGAATCTCACCAGGGCTGACAAAAAAAAATAGCTCCCAAGGCACAGAAAGCCACCCCTGTGTAAATGACCAGCACAAAATCTCAGTATGAAAGGGAAACCACTTTTCTGAAGGGAATTGAAATGGCACAAATGCTTCAGGCTGTGCCTGTGCACAGGGATGGGTTTCAATAATCAAAGTAAAGGGAAAAAAAACACCCAACCCTGAACTTTTCTAAATCCTCCAGGTTTGGTTGAAATAGGTTTATTTTATCTGCACTTAAAAGAAACTGCTCCCAGTCTTTGTTCATGACAACTTTTGATGCTCAAACTTCACCTGTAACTGATGGGAAATTTGGGATTGTCCTGTGGTGCAGGTCAACACCCATCAACCTCTGCATCCAGCACAACACCCACCACAGTGCTCAGACACAGGAGAGGAACCAACCTGGTGCTGGACCCTCCTTTGCAGCTGGTGGTGATGAAAAGGTGCTGAGAATTTGGGGGCTGTGGTGCTGAAGGAGCCTGCTAATGCTCTGCAAAAACAGTAGTGGAAAAAAAACCCAGCCCCAGCATCCTGGATGCTCCACTGACCCAGTGCTGGGTGTTCCTAAGGGGGTGCAGATGGCAGTGAAAGTGTCACCAGGGCTCCCTCCCAGGTGGGAACATGGCTCAGCACAGACTCTGTGCTGTGCAAGACCTTCAAACCTGTATTTTAATACCTTTTTCCCCCTCAAATCAGTCCCTTTTTGTATTCTAGTCGTGGATGAGACTCTTTGCGTGACTGTGGCTGTGTGAGATACACCAGAACAGCTGCTTGGGTGACCCCCTGGACATGGGATGACTGTTTTTCCACTGTCAATAAAACACAAGAGAGAAGAGACATTCTCCAACGCTTCCAAAGGCCATGGGTTGGGTTTTCCTGGCTGGGGTGGCTTTGCCTATTCCTGTAGTAAGGTTTCTCTCCAGTTAAAGCCTCCAGTTGGTCCATGTGTGAGAGGGAGGATGGGGGGGTCTGTGAGCTGCCAAACACCCGTGTCTCCCAGTTCTTCACAGGAGCAAAACCCCAGGTATGGAATCTGTGGGAAGAGAGATGGAAAGAGAGGTGATAATAAGCAGGGATTGAGCTGAGCTGCCCTGAGGGGTGAAGTCCTGCTGTGCTGCTGAATCATTTCACCACCTTCTCTCTTTCCCTCTCCCCAAAGCCTTTTTTCAGAAGGGGATTGTAGGACTCAGGTGTGACAGACTCTGTGCACCTTTGTATGTGCAAAACTCTGGGAAAGACAGATTACAGCCTTGTATCTTGGTTTAAATACAGGCCAGGAATCAGATGTGATTGACTGTGCACCTTTTACGTGCAAAACTCTGGGAAAGGCAGATTATAGCCTTGTATCTTGGTTTAAATACAGGCCAGTTCACACCAAAGGTGTTGGCTGACGTGGTTCCCAAACCCTGAAGGCCAGCACAGCTCTGCAGGGAAATGTGGATCCTGCAGATCAGCTCAGAATAGCCCAGTGGGGCCTGGCAGTGGGCAGTGCCCTCTCCCTGGGCAGGGCTGGAGGAAAGGGGTGAAGGTAATAAAAAAAAATTACAGTTTTCAGTCCTTTCCCATGACAGTGAGCGAGATGAGAAGGGGGAGTGCAGGTCAGAAGTGCCCTGGCCACTGTGGTGAGGGTGTTCTGGGCACTGGGGGAGTCTCTGCACAGCCCCTGGTCCCCAAAAAACCACAGCAGAGTCACTGCCAGCCCACCTGGAGGTGGGCACCTCATCCCACAGTGACAGCAGGGACACTCTCAGACCATCAGCCTCTCAAACAGACCTTCTGCACTCCCCTGACTGCTGAAAGGAGTGAAACTCGGGCAGGACAAAGTGTCTCTGCCTGGCAGAGCAGATTTCAAACTGCTTTTTCCCCTGCAAAGCCAGAGCTTTGCCCCTCGGTGGGAATTACCTTTCGGACCATCTGCACAAAGTCCTTGGAGTTCTGTGGAGACAGCCCTTGGAGCTGGCAGGTACAGGCCTCCAGGGAGGATGCATGGGCCACTATCAGGATGTTATTTCCTGAAATAAAGGGAGAAACACAGCTCAAAGAGGGAGATGAAGCCAAATTTAGGCACTGGTGCACAAGAATCAAGCAGACCATTAAAAAACCCAGTTTCAACTTATCACGTAACAACACATCAAGCTGTGTATTAGGGAGGAATAACATGATTTATTAACATATTTAAAGCATTTCTCAATTTTCAGGATGATGGTTAACTCAGTGCTCCTCAGTTTTTGATGCTTTCTGAAGAAAACAAGAATTGCAGTGAGATTTCAGCTGTCTTTGGAAGCAGCTGCTTTTTGCCTACACAAACATTAATTCCTGTTCCAACAAACACTTTAATTTCTCTTGCTGCTTTTCCACCGTGGTAATTTTACATTTCCATTTCCAAGCCTCCTTTACAACCAGTGCCCCACTGTGCTATTGAAGTTCTGTGTGCAAACTATTAAAGCAAAAGCTTCGAGACAGATCAGTGAAATGAAATGAGTACAAACACCAGACCTTAGAAACATCCCATTTCTATGTTGTGAATGAAAAATAACAGCTAGAGGTTTGTGGGGGTTTTTTAAATCTCAATATTGTGTTTGGAGAAACGTTTTAAGGTCTTTATAGGGGATGTATTTCAGAGGAGGAGCTCAGATAGGGGAGGGATGATGCTGGGAACAGACAGCAGAGTGCAAATAGCTCATTTATTCCCTTGGGTTGGGTAGGAATCCCTAAAATACCTTGTTACTTAAGTTTATGGACCTTTCTCATAAGGTGAATGCATTTCAAGTCATAGTTCTGACACTTGCAGGAGTTTCCAATGTCTCTGGAAGAGGGATGAGAGATCCACGTGTGGGAATTCCCCCCCTTAAGAGGGAAAGGCTGGTCAGGAATATTGGCATTCACATCCCAGGCTTGTTTTTTCAGCCCCTCTGCAGCACTTACCTTTGCCTTTACATTCACTGATGATTTCCTTTGTTACTTGGTAGCTTCTACTTATGTAGGTGTCATAAGATTCAGAAACCACCAACTTGCTGACAGGAATATGAGGTCTGTGAGCAGAAAAACACACTCAGTAAACTGGAAGAAGCAATAATGTTCTAAGTGCAGGTTATGATTCATCTCAAAGTATCTGTTCTTAAACTCTCCTCTTTCCCTGAGTCCCCAGAACTTGTGCCAGGACTGCTGTGAGGATTTTTAAACTTCAAGAATGAGGTGTTTACCATCCTGCTTTGAGATAATTGGGAAAATGAGAATTGTTTCCTCTGATGGGGATCACTTAGTGAAGGCAGCTTGGTGTGCTCGTGTTCCTCCTGCAGTAGAGATGCTCCTTTGTGTTTCTTCAGGCAGGTTTGTGGAAAAAATTTGGTTTATAACGAGCCATTTTCACGTCATGTTCAGCCCAGCAGCCTGGAACCTGCTCTGAGTTTATTTTGGGAGCCTCAGCAGCTCCTCCAGGCGCTGCCTAAACTTGAAAAACACCCTTTCCCCCCCCTTTTCTGCTACCTGTAGGTTGTATCAACGCTTAGAGTAGCTGCAGCTAAATCCACAGGGGGGATCCAGGCAGGTAGTGTGTTCCCAGAGACCCACTTGGTCCACTCGAACAGGCCTGGCTCTATCCGGATTTTCAGGTTGTTTTCCTGTTGCATACCTGGAAAAGGGAGAGAAGAGGCCAGGGATCAATGGAAGCAGCTGGGGAGGGAGGCAGCAAGACCTGGCAGCTTTAACACTTGAGTTTGATTGTTCATGAATTGTTTTAATTAGTTGATCAATCGCAGGTATGGAAGATGAAATATTTAATATATGTGTACTTGATGCCAGGGAATGTAAACCTCTGGCTGGCAGCTACATTAAAATTAAATGGCAATTAAAAAAGGGTTCTTTTGTGCTAATATAAAATACATTCCCATGGAGATAATCCTCACCCTAAATTCCCTTTCCCTTGGGTCTCCCATATCAGTGTTTTGCCCAGAAAGTGAGAGGAATGTGGTGGGTTCTCACCTTTCAGGATGTTGTGTGCTGTCTGCACACACCTCAGGGATGGGGAGCTGTAGATGTAGTCTACAATGGTATTAGTTTCTAGCAAGGCTTCACCTGCAAGGAAGTTTTACCTCCTGTGAGTAAAATCAGACAAGTGGAACTGCAATATCAACAACAACAGTGTGCAGCCACCCAGCAAGGAGCTGCTCAGGTCCTGCCTCCCCTGGGTCCACCCAAAAAGCAACCAGTGTGCTCAGAAAAATTGGAGAGGGCTTGGATTTGATTTGATTTCATTTATAAGCCGTAAATCAGAGAGAGTCAACAAAACTCAAACCCAACTTACTTCAATTGGCTCGACTCTTCTCTAGTATAAATTACCATTTCATTACACAGGTGGGAGATCACTGAAAATTAGATAAGAATCAGCTCCACTATCAGGGTTATTAATATTCTTGCAATGCCTCAGGGAACCAAAGGAGAACAGGGATCTGCACAGGCTTGTAGGAAGCAAGAATTACATTTTTGCTCTGTTTGAAGAGGCAGGACAAAGGAGTGGGAGCAAGAAGGGGTCGTTAACCCTGGCTCCAATGGCTGTAATTGTGTCAAGGTCTGTAAATCTCTTGAGAGAAGTGGGTGCCCCATCCCTGGAAGTGTCCAAGGCCAGGCTGGACAGGATTTGGAGCAACCTGGAATAGTGGAAGGTGTCCCTGCCCATGGCAGGGGGTGGGACTGGATGAGCTTTAAGGTCCCTTAATTTAGAAGTCTCAGTAATTTAGAAGGAGAAGGGTAATTTAGGAGGGATCTACCACCCCTCCCTCCCAGGGAAGCTGCTCTTTGGCTTCAGTCACCAGAGGAATTGTGGCTCCAGCACCACCAAGGTCACACTTGCAGCTGCAGTTTTGTCCTCCAGTGCCACCAGCAAAGTGTGCTCAGACTGCCCTGCTGTCATGGGCATATTGCAAACCCTGGTGCCATGTGGAGCCCGAGCATCCTGCTGCTGCACGGGGATTTATTTCTGTTTAAAGAAGCAAGTGTAATTTTAGCTGCCCTACTTTGGCTGTGACCAAGGGGAAGGATCTGAAGGATCTGAGTCTGAGGAAATGCTGAGTGCTGAGGCTTGTGTCTTTGTGGGGCTGGGCTCCTCTAATCACAGCACTCTTTGGCCACCAAATGGTTTTCTGTCTATGCACAGAGAGGCTCAGAATTCAGGGACAAGGATGAGGGGGGTGTGGGAGAACACTGGAAATAATTTTGGCTTGATAATTTGACGACATAAAGCCAGGCAGCTCGATAAAAGAATATTGGGGAGGCAAAGGAAGATTGTGAAAGTCAAGGCAGAAGCATATTTTGCATGAGGTGACTGTCACCCTGCTGGTAATAACAGTGTATTCCAAATGCACCCACCCTGCTGATGCCTCATCCCATTCCATCCCATGCCCCAGATTTCCTGCTTTGCCTTTTCCTCAGCTGCAGCAGCTGAAGGAGAAAAGGTTTCCTTTGAAAGAGGGAAAAATTGCTGGGGAAGGTGAAAGGACTTTGAAAAGCTCCTGGAAACATCAAAATTTCATTTGTTCAGGGCACCCAATTCATTTTTTATTGCCTTGCACTTTCTCTTTCTCTTGGCTGAGTGTGTGGGAGGAAGACAGCAAAGCTTCCTGGGCAAGCTCTCCACAGGATCCTGGAATGGTTTGTGTTGGAAGGGACCTTAAAGCTCATCCAGTGCCACCCCCTGCCATGGGCAGGGACACCTTCCACTGGCCCAGGTTGCTCCAAGCCCCGTCCAGCCTGGCCTTGGACACTTCCAGGGATGGGGCAGCCACAGCTTCTCCGGGAATTCCATCCCAGCCCCTCACCACCCCTGCAGGGAAGATTCCTTCCCAATATCACATCTCTCCCTGCCCTCTGGCAGTGGGAAGCCATTCCCTGTATCCTGTCCCTCCATCCCTTGTCCCAAGTCCCTCTCCAGCTCTTCTGGAGCCCCTTTAGGCCCTGGAAGGGGCTCTCAGGTCTCCCTGGAGCCTTCTGTCACCCCCAGCTCTCCCAGCCTGTCCCCACAGCAGAGCAGCTCCAGCCCTCAGAGCATCCTCAGGACCTGCTCCAACAGCTCCACTTGACCCTCTCGTGCTTAAACTGGAAGGAGCTTGAGGTAGAAGAGTCTCACCCCAAAATTTCCACCTCATCCTTGTGTTTCTCCATCCCTCTAAGCCCTCTCCAGCCCACTCCCCACCCTCACAGGGAGGAATTCCTTCCCAATATCCAATCCAAACCTCCCCTCCTCCAGCTTAGACCTCTTTTCTGAGGAGGACTTACCAACCAGCCTGGCCTGTGTGCAGCCCAGCACGGTGATGGGAGCGTCCTTCTCGTAATCCCTGAACCCACCACTTCTCTGAGGTAAATTGTGAGGCATGTTCAGGTTACTGCGCATGTACCTTCCTGCAGGGAAAGGTTCCAAGCTGGAATTATTCCTTCAGAGACCCACACAGAAGCATCACACCTTCTTCTACCCTCTTCCACCCCCCACGTCCTGGGGGTGCTGCCCAGACCTGGCTCTTGAGCAGTTTTCCCCACCAGTAAAAACCACCAGGAATCTCCCAAAATGAAGTGAAACGGCTTTCAGTGGTTCAAAAGCAGCAAAGGATGCTGCTGATGCTTTTAAAAGTTATCTTTAGGGCAGTTTACTCCATGGGAAAACAATTTCTGTCCCACAACAAAAGAAACCCTGAAGGTCACACTCTTCCAGGAGGTTGAAATGTCAGGGCTCTTCTGCCAGAAGTTAGAAAGAAGGCAGTTGTGAAATCATCCTTTGGCTGCAAGATATTGCTATGTTTTAAATATAAAAAAGACTTTTTGGACAAATTTCTGATCAGTTCTAACGCCAACAGAGCCTGGAGTTATAGTTTGTTAATTATAGTCTGAAACTCAAGCATATCACTGGGTTGAAAACACCAAAAGCCACTCTGAGCTGTACTTGTAGTGGGGTTATTTCCACTTAGCACTGCGAGCCAGCTGTGCAAAATAAATTCCTGATGGCAGTAAGTGTTTTCACTGAACACTGATTACTAACATCATGACTACATTTGTTCTTTGGCCACATAACTACAGCATAATCACTCCTGCAACAGCTTCCCAAATATTAGCAAACAAACATTTCCTCCCTGGCTTGTGTTTCTGCTTCTGACTGCAGCCCTGCCACCACAAAAAGCATCAATCTGTGTTAGGTTCTATGTAAGATTTGCCCCTCTCATTCCTCCCTCTAAAACTGGGAGAGCCCAGAGCAGACTCACCTTTGGCATCGAAACACTGGGACAACCAGTACTTCCCAAAAACCACATCCATCCTTTCCCCGTGCCTGCAGACAAACAGGCAGCGTTTCTGAGGCCCTGGATGGCTGGTTATCCTCAGGGGCTGGAAGGGAAATCACAGGCTGTTTGACCTTCATCAGAGTGTAAAGGGTTTGCTGAGATCTGGGAGTCAAGACCAGGCACTTCTTGCTTTACCCACTACAGGAAAGTCTTGTGTATTTAGGATTTTTATGGATTTATGGAACTCTTTATGAATTTTATAATATTGGTAAATTTATGGTGGTATAAAACTGCTGGAGGGAGCAGAGGATGGGGCCCTACCATCCCCTCTTAAGAGCCAGTTTGGGGACAGCAATGTCTTCAATGCCTGTGGTTAATTGTGCCATTCAAAAGCTTGCAGAGAACTTTAGCTGCAGGTAGTGAAAAGAGACCAGGGGATAAGTTTTTGGGGAAAACCCAGTGGCTGGCAGCTTGTCCCTAAGGCTGTGTGGATTTAGGGGTGTGGGGGTCCCCACCTGCACGTTCTGGCAGATGATGGTGAGTGGCCCTGCATCCCCAGGTCCTTGGTCTTCCTGCTGTCTTCTCTCCAGAGCTCCATCAGCGAAGCCTTGAAGGGATGGGGAGGATGTAGTATTCAGGATTGAGTAGGACCTGCCAAAACCAGAAAGGTGTTGTTGGCTTTGGGAATGCTCTGTGTGCTCAGGCAGCACTGAGGGCATTTCTGCAGCCTTTGGGAGCTGGGGAGAATTACTGTTGTAATGTTATTTTATTATTATTTGTGATCTACACACATGAAGAGACAAATTCCACCTCAACAGGCTGTTTCCTTGGAAACAGTTTAGGGAACAACAGTTCCCAAACTTTGGTCTGTGAGGCTCTGAATATTCTCACAAAGTGTCACGACCTTCCTCACCACCACAGGATGCTCCCTAAAATCATCTGGGGACCAGCTGCATGTCACTGCCCGTGGTCTTGTGGACCAAAATTCGGGGACTGAAGCCTGCAGGGAGTTTTCCCTCACCTTTGCAGCACAAGCTGTTGCTGGGGCTCAGCCCTGCCTCTCCCCATGGGCACAAAACAGCTCCTACCCCCTGGTAGGGACCTGGCACTGTCAGCTTGGGTGGTTGTGTCTACATTTTTCAGTGCTGATTATTCTGTTTCTCACCTCCATGGGAATTTATTCTCACCAGTGCTCCCAGTTAAGTGCAGCCAAATGGATGTAATAGGTCCCAGTCTGCCTCAAGGGGTTTATCTAATGATGGTGCCTCTGAGTAAAGCCCAGATATTCAAGGACTTTGACCAAAACCCTTGGGACTAAACCCTGACAGGCAATTACAGGAGCTGCAGTGCCTCTCTGCTGACTCAGCACATTGGATGGTTACCTTTGCTTAGTCATTAAAAAAAAATCAACCCATTATCAGATAATGTATGTGGTCATTTGCTTTGACAGAAATAGTTGCTAGTGATTGCACTTTTCAGTGCCTTAAATATGCCAGCACTTGCTTCCTGATGGCACCTAGTTAGGATAAAATCTCAGAGGGGCTCCACAGCTGTTGAAATAACACTGAGTGCCTCTGCCAGAGGAACAAAAATAGGTCACCTGCGTTTTTGTTAAGAGCTGATTTGTGAGATCACATCATTTGCACCAGTTCAAAGGAGAAAAAATGCCACCTTGTTGGTCCTGATAGTTTCTCCAGCCTCCTGCCCTCACTTCTTCAGATCTGACCTTCTAGTTTATTTTAACTGTGTTTATTTTATTCATGGTGAGTTTTCCTAACAAGGGCTGGCCCTGCTCCAGGGAACTTTTCCTCTCAGGCAAAGGTTTAACACAGATCCATCCTCTCTGACCCCAAAACTTGGTATCTCAATATGAGAAGAATCTCAATTTCTTAGCCAGACCCATCTCCACTGCTGCACAAAGTGGATTTTCTTCCAGCCCTTCATCCTGTCTCAGCCCTTTCCTGCTTTGCCCACGTGACAGTTTTTTAAGGACACTGCCTGGAGAACACTAAGGATTTTTTGGTTACCCCCTTCCCTTTGTCCCCAGGAGCTGCCACACAATTTCTGAGACTTTCTTTCTCTCTGAGCTCTTATTCCAAGGCCACAAATGCTTCAGCACCTATTTATAGATGGGAATGATGATGAGGCAAAGGCACCCTATCTTGCTGTGTCTGGAGAAGAGCCACCAGCTTGTCTTCTACCTCCTTCATGCTGCTGCAAAACAGAAACCACTGAAGCTATTTCAGCTTAGTCATCCTCTAAGCATAGGTCATTGTTTGGAAGCTTTTCCCAAAGGGAAAAAAAGAGGCAAACAGAGGCTGAAGGCAGAGAACAACATCCACTGTCTTCTGGATGCTCCCTTGTCCTCACTGCTCTGTCAGGAGTATCTCTGTGGCCCTGGAGGAAAAGGCATCTTGGAGAGTGGGGATGGTTCAAGCAGAGGATGGAGAAAGGGTCTCTGTCACAGCTGGTCCTCAGCTCTGGGTGGGAAAAGACTCCTCTGCCACATCCCTCATCATTATCCAGAGGAGAGGGATCGCCGTGGAAAACAAATCAGTCCTTGTTGCAGAACAGGAGGAAGAAAGGGTGGGAAAAAAACTCCTCAGGTCCAAAAATAGCTGGAAAAATTAGGGCTGTTTTCCCTCCCCTGGCACTTGTGCCAAGTCTGATTTCTCAGGGTTATTAAAGGGGCAAGGAATGGCTTTGGCATCTCACGAGGAGCTGAAATAGCCTGTGGTGTGACATCCATAGCACTCCTGTCCATTCTGGGGCAGAGGAGGTGACTATTTCTGGCTTTGCTGGGAATGGAAAAGCAGTGCAGGGAACCATCCTACCACGAGTGCCGTGGCAGGTTGTCCTTAGTTTGCTGTATGGCTTTGACCACATGACATTCCATTACCTGATATTCCCTGTGGGAAGGCCCTATGTAAAACGAGACTGTTTCTGGGTGTGTCACAATGGTTTTTGGTAAATGCTCCACATTTCATGCTCCAATTCATGATTTATAGCCTTCAGTGGTAACAAGGGAAGGGGCATTTCCTTTCTTTGCTTGCCTGGAGGCAGAGGTGCTGGAATTAGAGAACATTTGGCTTTCCTTTTAGTTGCTGCTGCTGTAACAGTAATTCTTGCCCATGCTATTCCCTGGGCATCAAAACTCTTGCAGGCACTGTAAGAATAAAAAGCAGGCTCCACTAGAGCAGGATGTGCAGTGTGAGTGGACCTGAGACTATTTTTTTCAGGGGAAGGAAGGGTGGTTTTGCTGGATTGCAGACTGGAGGGTCTGAATTAAGTCCTGCCTTCACACAGACAGTGCAGGCAGAGGGGCAGCAGGCAGGATGTGCCTCTCCTCTCTCTTATATACAAACTATTCCCTGTGCTCCAGGTTTGTCAAAGGCATTTGGCTGCTTAGATATCAACCCACTGCTCAAGCACTACTTTTTTTGTCACTGCTTAACTAATTCCCACCAAAATCAAGAGGCACAAGGCATAATCTCATTCAAAAGGTGAGGGCTGCCTTCTCACTGAAGCCTTCTGCAAAATCTTGCTAAGAATTCTTAAGAAATGTTGCTGATCCCAAGTCCTTTTCCACAGAAGATGTCTCTTCCCAAATTAATGCTCAGATTTAAACCTTCCTGATCCTGGTCCCACCACAGAGATGTCTCCCCAGCAATGTCTGCAGCAGCCATCTGCTCCAGCAGTGATCCTATGAGTGATAAATAGCTGCTGTAAAAAGTCACACTGTCCTCTAATCCCATGCCCGGGGGCAGCATCTGCTCCTCTTGGCTCAGGAGATGGGGCTTCGTGTGCCAGTTCCTTTCCCCCAGCGACCTTCTCACCAGAGCTGAGGAAGTGATTCTTCCCCTGGACTCAGAGCTGGTGAGGCCACCCCTGGAGTGCTGTGTCCAGTTCTGGGCCCTCAGTTCAGGAAGGACATTGAGGTGCTGCAGCAGGTCCAGAGGAGAGCAACAAGGCTGGGGAAGGGACTGGAGCACAAGTGCTGTGAGGAGAGGCTGAGGGAGCTGGGGCTGTTCAGCCTGGAGAAGAGGAGGCTCAGGGGAGACCTCCTCACTCTCTACAACTCCCTGACAGGAGGGGGGAGCCAGGTGGGGGTTGGTCTCTTTTCCCAGGCAACTCTCAGCAAGACAAGAGGGCTCAGGGTCTTCAGCTGTGCCAGGGGAGGTTTAGGTTGGATGTTGGGAAGAATTTCTTTGCAGAGAGGGTGATCAGCCATTGGAATGGGCTGCCCAGGGCAGTGGTGGATTCTCCATCCCTGGAGGTTTTTAAGATGAGACTGGATGTGGCATCAGTGCCATGGGCTGGGAACCACGGCGGGGTTGGATCAAGGGTTGGACTTGATGATCTCGGAGGTCCCTTCCAACCCAGCTGATTCTGTGATTCTATGATTCTATGATTCTCAGCAGCCCTGGGACACTCCTCACCTACCCAGGTGAAATCCCAGCTGCTGAGCCCCTTTTTCCAGCCCTGGGAAATTGGACTGAGCAGCTTTTTACCTACCCATGGAACACCCAGGTGCCACATTCATCCGCCTTGGTGATGTAGTTCTCGGGCAGCAGCCCGGAGCAGCCGGTTGCCAGGGAAATGCCGTAAATCCAGCCCTCACTTGTGCTGGTTTGTTCCACTGGGGACATGAAAATGAAGTCCCCTGGGACCAGCTCCAGCTCATCATCGTTCTGGGGGGTGTAGGGGTAGATCACCTGCAGAGTCTGGGGGAGAAACAGAAGCACAAATGAATGAGAGGGTTGTTATGGGAAGGGAACCTCTGGCAGAGTGGGGCAGGAGCAGCCCCACACCACACCTTTAACCTCAGCTCTCCTTGTGCTTTATCCAGGAAAGCTTTCCTTCAGGGAATTCCTGCTGCTTCCCCCTCTTTGCTGTTGGAAGGCTTTTCTAGGTATTTGTTCCTTCTTCCCTCTTTGATTCCCCTTCCCCCTCCAGGGGAAGGGGGGGGATGATTTTTAAATTGAGCAAAATCATGACTGTGTGCTTAGACCTGTTTAAAATGGAACTGAGTTCTTGTTGGGACCTGGAATTTAGACAGCCCTAGTGGTCAGTGACCATTTTTGATTTACCTACACATGTTTGATCTGGAAGAGCAGTTCTTGTTTCTGTTGCTTTTGAAGACAGGGCAGAGACATTGTTGGGAGGTTTGAATCTCTGACCTGCTGCTCTCAGAGCTGTTTGTGGGAATGCACAGGAAAAAACACAGGTGATGAGAAATCGTGGCCACATTGTTTTCTTTGTATTTCCTGACATGAACAGGATTAAGTTAAAAGGTGGGAGAAAGATGAGTGAGTGTAGTTCTGTGATCTTCACTTGAGCATGAGGAATCCACATGTATTAAATGTCTACCATTAAATTTCTTTGGGAATGGCTACAAGAGTCCCCAGTTTAAAAGGGGAACAGATGAATTCTTGTCCCCTGGCCATGAATAACTTCTGCATCGTTGCAGAAAAGAAGGAAACCCCTCATGTGCTGAGCAGCTCTGCTCTCCTGGTGGTGTCAGCCCTCACCAATCCTTCTAGACTGTGTGTGGTATCTTCAAAGGAAGGTGGAAAAAAGTCACTGTCACCTGATACCACACAGCCCAAACTTTCTCAGGTGTCTGCCTGAAGTGAGATGTGCAAAGATGGAGCCGGGTTTCAGCAGCAACTGCCTTTGCCAGCACCAGTCTGTTGACTGTGTGAAGCTTCTGAAGGTCACAAGGATGCTCTGGACAGGAAAGGAGGCTGTCACACAGGGAGGCACAGCCTGGGCTGGCTCAGAGAGATGTCAGCTCTCCAGGAGCCTTGGCATTTGCATGAAAAATAGCTTTTTCCCACTCTGCCACGGGTTTTGTGTGTGAGGTTCTGGGCAATGCACCTTGGTGGGGTTGATCACCCCAACCTTAGGAGCTGAGTTAAACACCCAAGCTGAGCAAGCACCTTCTGGAAGTTCCTTCCTCCAGACACTGATTCATCCTGAGATAGACATCTCAGATGGGTCAGATGTCTCGTGTTCTGGAGGTGCCTGTTTCTCTGCACTGAGCCTCAGACTACAGCTCTAACTTGGGTATTTACAGTGAGGTGAGATGAATCTCACCTTTGGTTTCTCAATGCTCAAGATCCCAATCTGTGAAACGGATTTAATATTGTTTTTCTGTGTGTTATGTGGAAAACAACGTTATTAAGGAAACTATCTTAAGGGACTTAAATACTGCAGTTATAGAATCCACATGAGTAATTGAAATATATGAAGGGAAATGTTTCTGACATGATGGAACTAAGTGCTGTGGTTAATAATAAAGTCAAGGCTGTACAGCAGAACTGGATACTGGTCAGGTTAAAATACTGGTCTGGTTCTGGAGAGATCAGACCAGTTTATGTCGAGCTCACAGGAGAGTCATTATTAGAATTAATTAATCCAGCGGGATTAAGCAAGGGATGAGGTGGGTGAAACAGCAAGTCTGGACAGCAGGAGTAAAAAGGAAAAAGAAAGGCAGTAAGGTCTGTTTGTTAAGATGATTGGTTAGTTTGGGGTTTTCTTCCTGAGACAAGCTCCTGAACTTTACCTCGTGGTTGACGAAGCGAATGTCTCGGGAGAAGATCGCGGCCACCCAGTCACAGCCCAGCTTGACATCAATGTTCTGGGCCAGCTTCTCCAGCGTGGGCAGGTGGCTGCTCTGGAAGTGATAGGCCAGTGTCACGTGGAGCTGCTTCTTGTGGGGCTCCACGTGAACATCTGCAAGGAGAAGACGTGGGTGAGCAACCCCTGGCTGTGTGAGATGGGAAGGGAGACGCGCTGGGAAGGAGGGAAGGCAAATGTCACCTCTGGCAGGAGCTGGGAGATGATGGGTTTGGAGGACACTCAAGAGGAACAAACTGCAGGGCGGTTTGAACAGGCTCTGAGGAAGTCAAATGTGAGTTCTCTACATTGCACCTTGGATCAAATTATTAGAGATTTGTGGTCTGGTTCAGCCCTGAGTCACACCAGGGTGGGAGATGAGGCTTCCCTGCCCAACTGCCAAACAATGTGTGATAACAGTTATTGCCATTCTGAACACACTGCCAAAAAAACCCACTTTTCCAGGTAACTGATAGGCTTTCATGAGCAGCCGAGGATCTCTCCAAAATAAGCAAGTTAAAAAGCACAATTTTTACTCTCCCTCCTTTGTTCTCTCGGCTACACCAGCAATTACAAATCCATGGAATTTACAGGTTCATGCAAGGTGATTAAATCTTTTTTCCCTTGGGCATTAGTTGGATTACCAGTTTAGCCACTGAGGGTGAGGTATTCCCACATTGTGGAAACAGACATTGATATAATAATGATTCAAAATGATCCTGCAGAAAAAAAACCAAAAGAACCTGCATTAGGAAAAGACTCCAGGAAGCAGAAAGGTGAAGGTGTGTGAAATATTGGGACTCTTCCAGTAGATGTGGAAATCATAGGATACATTGTTTGTATGTAATTTATTCTTGCTTATTCAACCAAAAATTGCTATTAAATTTGACTGATTATTCAGTCAAAATTGCAGCTATTCAGAGACTTGGCTCCAAGTGCCAGCCAGGGGTAGCTTTGCAAGCTCATCCATCTTTTTTTCTCTTTTTTTTTGATCAGCAAAGAAAAATTTGTTTTGAAAAAGCCCCAGAGACTTTGATGTGATAACCTGCCCAAGCTGTGGGGGCTGCAATGCAGCAACTGCCTTCCCCCAAAAAAGAACCAATTCAGTCTGAATTGGAGCAGTCACAGGGGCAGAAGTTTGTTGGAAGACGTGGGTGCTTCCTTCTTCTGGGTCAGTGGTTTTTTTGGGGTGAGAATTGCCCCTCTGACTGTGCTGGTTTGGAGGGTGTGTCTGGGGAACACTCTGGAGGGGAACATTTGTCCCTCTCTCACGTGGCTGCAGCGTCCTTGGACCTGCCCAATGTCTCTGTGCCTGTCACTGCCTCAAAATGTGCATTTTTCAAGATAACATTCCCTCCCTCTTCTAAAGGGAAGGAAAATTCTAGGTCATTGTTGGGTGAAAGCAATGAGTTTCAGAGGTGTAGTGAGCCTACAGCACATCTGGATCTCTCCTCTGAACAGGGGCAGAGACTTGTAGCTGTTCTGGATGGTTATGAGATGCCTGTCTATCAAGAAGACACCCCAGGGATGCAGAATTTGCTGTATCTTGATGCATTTAAGCTCCAGATTAAGCCTGTGACAGTGAAAGGCTAAACCAGTTGTGCTGTGACTAGTCCAGGCTGAGCCCTACAGTGATGGAGGGTGGGAGGATTAGTCAGGGAGCTGTTCCAGTGCTCCCATGCTGTTCTGAGTTTGGAGGTCACTGCAGGACACCCAAAGAGCCTATTCAGCAGTGGGGGCCATGGGAGCACGGGGTGCTCTGGGTACTTCCCCCTCTACAAGCAGCAGAGGAGCAGAAAACAGAGCCAGAGGTGTCAGCACCGAGGTTTGAAAAGGTTCTCCCCTGGGCTGCCAGGGGTCTTGGCAGAGCCCTCTTCACACCTCAGAAATGCAGAGACAAAACAAGCACGGCCTTGAAATGGTCAAGGAAGGTTTTGTGGTGGTGGCTTGAGGCTGGGAGAGGAGCAGGAAACACTCAGCAGACAGAGAGAGCACCGATGAGAAAGGTTAAGGAACCACCAAATGTCAACTTCCCTTTCAGGAGATAACACTTGAGATGGAGATCAAGGTGATCTTTGAGCTGAAAACACTGAAACCCAAAGCACCTGCCGGGGTGTTCCTCTCAAGGCTTTCAGTTGTTACTTAAAAATCAGCCACTGGCTTTATGAGCTTTGTTCCTTCGTGGCATCCAAAGAGAAAACACCCAAGCCCTGAGCTCTTTGCAGCTCCAGCACAGCCACTCACCTGCTTTTGAAGCCGCCTCCGCAGCAAAGTCTGCAGCAAACTTCTTGAGCACCTCAGCACTCTCCTCCTTGACGAAAAGCCCGATGAAGTTGGAGGATGTGTAGAGCTCCAGGGGCAGAGGGGCGGGGAATTTGCACTTCCAGCGCATCACGGTGGCCTGCAGGGCCTCTGTGAGAGCATCCACCTTGCTGTCCTCACACTGCCGAGGCAAGGACAGGCACTCGTCAGGCAGGGAAAGGAAAGGAGTGGGTGGATGGGTGTGAATGGCCTACCTTGGCTACAACACAGTGAGAAAAAGCACGGGGGGGGGCCACAGAAAAATCCAAGTTTAGAAATCTCCTGCCCCTCCCTCGGCCTCGAAGCGGGATCAGCTGTTCCCAAGTGACCTTCCCAACCTTCCCCCCCATCCATTCTCATGTTAACCATCACTTGGGATGATGAGAATTTGGTCCTCTGCTGCTGCTCTTGGCTCAAAACAACAGCTTAAAACCCAATTACCTCCTCAACAAGCCCAGGCATCAGGCAAAACCCCCCCAGCTCCCCAAACCCTCGTGCAGGGACTGAGGGAAGCGTGCAGAGCTCCATCCTGAGCCTGGCCAGGGCTGCCCGTGAATTCATGCACCAAAGCAAGGCAGAGAGGGAGCTGGGCTTTACCATGAAGAACTGGCACAGGGTGATATGTGGGAAAATGTTGTGAGCTTTGTTCTTCCCACAGATCTGCTTCGACTGCTGCCAGAAGTCAGAGAGTTTCTGAGCCAGGGGGCCCGTGGGGCGCAGGTACAGGACGTACTCCCGGGGCAGGGGGTCGTCCAGGAACGGGTCACCCACGTGGGAGAAGAGCCTGGGAGGCAGAAACAACTGTTAGATTGTCAGATAATGGCATATTTTCTCCCAGCAAAACCAGCTTTCCCTCGTCCTCGCTCTTGTTCATTCTCCCTCTATGGTTAAAATCACCTCTGGCAGGTCAGGCAGAGCTGCTCTCTCTCCCTCCCAGCCCATCTCCACTAAGTAACACAGAAAATCAGGGTTTGGTTTCAGGCTGATGCTCTGAAGATCTAACCCGGGTCACTGCTTCTGCCTTCCTGCCTTTTCAGTGAGGGGGAGAGCACTGGAAATGGCTCAGCATCTTTGAAAAGGCAGCTCTCAGCTTTCTGTTCACCAGCTGCAGATAGTGGGGGGTTCTTTGTCTCATCTGTTTCTGCTTTTACTCGAGACCACAAACTCCCTCAGACAAGGCTCGTTGCTGGATTGCTCATTTACAGCACTTAAATGACATTCCACTAATTCTGCAGGTGCTTCTCAGACAATGCCCCTGTTTTACACCCCCCGTTCTAATGGCTAAAATCTTAAATTCCCTAATTTCTTTTACTTTTTAACATTTATTCATACCAACCAGTCGCATGCTGCTTGAACACTTCTTCCACCTGTCGATGCCAGTGCTTTTTGTCTGAGGAGAGAGCAAAATAAAGAGCATTTTAGTGCTGCTGGGTTATGTGGCTCCTGTCACAGACATTCCTTGGACCTTCCTTGTGGGAAGGGCTGTAACAGTGTGTTTGGAAACCTGTGGGATACCCTTTCCAGGCTGATTTTCTCAGCCCTGGGGCTTTTTTTTTTGGATGTGCCACCTGCCAAATTGCTGCAAACTGTTTAAAGGGCAAAGTCTTTCAGCCAGGGCAAAGTATGAGACATGGACCTCTGGGCTTTCCCTGCTTCCCCAATTTTATGGACAGTGAAACACCAGATATTGGCATTCAGTGACCTCTTTGCTGGTCATTTCACCATGAAAACCCAAAGGTTTGGGTCTGAAAGTGCAGACGTTGCACTGAGGACAAGAAAAATTCAACTGCCACGAGAGGGCACAAAACAGAGATTTTCAAGGTTAGAACAGTTCCCTTCAGCCCTTGCTACACAGACAGAGCTTTTCTGCTTTTTTTCCCCTTCAAGACACCTCTAAATCTCTTTTCACTCCAGCTGGGAAGACCCAGGTCTCCTGTTCTGCAAGTTTTCCAGTTGCAGGACAGATGAACACAGTGCTGTTTAACTCCTGGACGTGGAATTGTGTTTTCCAAATGCTCCACATCAGCACTGAAATGCAGCTGTGGATCAGGGAAGAATTCACCCAGAATCCACGTGGCAGAAACACTGAGAGAAAAATGATGAGTGGAGGAGGCAGAAAAGGATAGAAACGTTGGGGTTGTGGGGTAGCAGACAGGCTTTCAGTTGGGTAAGGGCAAAATTCCCAATAAATAGGTGATTTCAAGGCTTCCTGCTTAAGGGAAGAAGAGCAGAGTCCAGGTGGGTTCAAGATCAGGGCAGTTTGGACCCTCCAGCACTTGTCTGTGTGTGACTGTGCTTCTGTCTCCCTTTCTGTCTGCAGCAATAACTCTCCAAAGCACCCTGAAAACCATGGAGAACGTTCATGCCATGTCACCCACCAGCTCCTAGACATGTGTTGTTGACTCAGCTGTGTTTCAGCTCTGCCCTTGCCTTCCCCACCCCTTGAATATACATATTTTTGCTGGTTTTGAGAGCAAGAGGAAGGCAGAAAGATAAAGCTGCTGCTGTAAAAAAAAAAAAGGGGGGGGGCCTGTGTTGCAAATGTGTGATTATGAAAATACTTCCTCCTCAAGGGTTTTGCTGCCCTTATCTGCCAGTGTTCACTTGAGGGCACCTGCCTTCTGAAGGACAGAGCTTGGGTGGTGAACACTGGAGGTTGGGGGGTTCATCCTGCTGCCCTTGCCTCAGCTGTGCTATGCAAAGCAGCCACTGCTTTGCTTTGAAAAGTAGCTCAGGGAAAGAGCAAAAGAGTGAAAAAAAAAAACCCAAAAAAGCTCTTCCCAGCAACTTGCAGAGGGTGGGAACCTCTCAGGGAGGCTGGATTTTCCCTGCCCTGGTTTCTCACCCGTTTCTGCTGCGTTGCCTTTGCTCAGTTCACCTCCCCTCTTGCCTGGGTTGTGCTCTTTGAACAGAGAAATGTGTTTGAAGTGTCCAAACCGTCCCTCTGCAACGTGTCTGTGTCAAACCCGAGGCAGTGAATTCCAGCTGCCCTCCCAGTCAAGCTCTGGCTGGGAAATGAGCAGTTCCTGCTGTTGCCAAGCAGGCTCTCCCTCGGGATTCCCTCTCCCCAAATCCCAGCATGGATTTCTGGAGGAGCCACCCAAAATCCACCAGGACAGACGGTCCTGCCACCCACCCTTGGTGACTTGTTCCCTTAATGAACTGATGTTTCCTTGGAACAAATCACACAGTGGGAGCTCTGCTGGAATAAACTGCAGCTCCTGCAGTGCTTGGGGACCACAAAGGGCATCACAGAACATCAGGCTGGACCGTCAGACATTTGTTCATCCGTGATTTCCAAAGTTGCCTCTTTCATCCACAGGGACAATAAACTCCCTTTTCAATTTAATTTTCAGTGTGAGCAGGAAATGCTGCATAAAGCAACCAAAAGCCAAAGTACATTTTTATCCCAGGACCTGAAACTAAGATGCTCTTCTCTTTTTTTTTCCTTATATTTTAATTTAGAGCAGGGAATGGTGATGGTGACTGATGGCCTCTGCATCCCTCCCCTGCACCCAGAACTTGGAGAGGGCTCATCTTCCACCTCCCAGGCCAAGATCAACTTTTTATAAGCTGAGTACTCAAAACTAGTCACAACTTATACAAAACTGGCCTGATTTTCACAACTGCTGAGTGCAGTGGGAGCTGGGAGACATATTCTGCTCCTGAGAAAATCAGGTCACTTAATTAGGTGACTGGGGGCTCAGATTTACTCATGCTGGGTAGCAAATGTTGGCTGTAGCATTGTAGCAAGTGGCAAAAAAAAAGTGGGTTTGTGACTCAGATGAACCAGAAAAAAAAAGAAAAAGGAAGAAAATAACTTATTTTTCGGAATCTACCAAATGGCATCGCCCAGTAACCACTTCTGGTCATGCAAAAATGGCAGCTGTGTTCAGGGAGCACATGAAAAGCTTTGTGCAGAATTACCAGTCCCTTGAGCCACCCAATTCCTCTATCACTTGAATTCTGCTGCCTCTGAGATGAAGTGCAGGGAAATCATTTAACAGCAACAGGTAATAACCCTTTGGAACAGACAGTAGGGGAGATGCTCTGTTCAGCTGCAGGTCTGCAGGTGGAGACTTTAGGGCAGGGCAAAGAAAATCCTGATAGCAATGTCTTCCAAAGGCACAGCAGCATTTTGGCCACCACAAAGAATTAGATGTATTTGATTCTTCAGTCTCTCTGTGACACTTCAATGCCAAGTCACAAGGAAAGTCTTTCTCGACTCTCTGCTGAAACAGGACCAAAATATTGCTGGGAAGCAAATCCCACCTACACAGTTGACTCCTTGGCCCAAAACATTGCAGCAAATTGGTGTTGCTGCCCTGGTTTCCATATTAATGTGTGAGTGGTGCCCACTTTAACCCCAGCCTCCTCAAGGGGAGAGCACAGAGCTCTGTGTGCTGCACAACTCAACTCCTGGCCCTTGAAGGATTTTTGGCTTCCTGCAATTTCAGGGTAGGAAAGAAAAAAAAAAAGGCACAGGGGAATGTCAATTCAGCAAGGAAATATATATCAATAAACAGAAAGTATAATGGCCAAATCCCATTTACCTCAGAGGAAATGGCTGTAAAGGGGAATGATGCATTAACCAGAAAGAGAACCTTCAGTCTCAGAAGCACCACAGAGAAACCCTCCCTCTGCTCAGTGCTCAGCTTTCTGATTCTAGTCCAGCACTTTAAAAAGGGCTCAGCTTTATTCAAGCCCAGTTTTAAAAGGGCTCAGCTTCATTCAAGCCCAGTTTAAAAAAGGAAGGTGTGTGTGTGGCTGCCAGAGGCAATGAAATACTGCGTGGGAAAGTTAATGCAAACAGGGAATTAGAAGTTAATGCAAACAGTGCAAGAGCAAGGGATGGGAGGGAACTATTTTAAAGATATTTCTTTATCTGCATTATATTTTATCAGTAAAAAAGTATGCAAACTTCAGGGGGTCGATGCCCCCAGCAGGGATTTCCTTTGGTTCTTCCTTTACTTTGCCAAGCAGAGACTCCAGTTCTGCCCTGGGCAGAGCTGAGCTTTGTGTCTTTAAGGAGGACCTTGTTCTGCTGTGAGTTGCTGCTCTCAGAGGCAGGAGAAAATGCCAACATTTCTACCTCAGACCCACCTACAAACTGCCTGCAGAGGCACCAGGGGATTTGTGAATGAGCAATGGAAGGATGGAGGCAGCCTGTGAAAAAAAAAGGGAATGACTAAATCTTCCCTTTCATTCTCAAGCCCAGACAAACTTCTTACCCATGAACAAAACCCCTTGGAGGGATGAATTCATCATCTCCAGTAGCCCTGAATCTCTGGCCCATAAAATATTTAGCTGTGTAAATACTGATTTTTTTTTGGAAATGGCATTAAACATGATGGAATACTTGGCTCTCCTCGTTAGGTTCTGTTCAAAGGCCTGCCTGACATGATAAGATAGGAATTACAGATCATAATTTATGCCAAGGGAGTTTGAAAGAAGGATGCTGTCAAACAGAGCTTTTTTCTTACAAATATAAAATAGGCACCTTTATTTTTGCTTGTTTGTGTGTATAAAATATGTATTTATGTAAATATATACTTAAATAGATATATGTATCTATTTAAAGCTTGACTTGTTCCGTCTTTGTTGGTTTATAGTAAAAGAATAGACAGTAAAATGCTTGTTGGCTCTAGGGAATGAGAAAAAACTTAGAGATTTTCTAGATGTGAAGCACATGTGTCAGTCCAGGTACAGGTCAGAAGCTCAATATTTAACTCCTCCCTTAGTTTTTGTGTCAGGCTCAGCCATGATGTGAGAGGTCCTGAATTCAAACCCAGCAATACCTCCAGGGAAGCTGTTCTAAATTCTTCACAAACAGCAAAAATTTCCAGATTTTTCTGTGTATGTTTGTTTCCAAATTGTTTCCAAATTGCCCATCTAAGTGACCTTTACAGATTCCTGAATTTGTGCAGTTCTCCTCAATTGTTTGTGCCACTATCAGTGCAATAACAGAAATAACAGTTCTATTTTAGGCTTTCAATCAACAACTGCACATTGAAGAAAAGTTCTGCCAGTGAAATTTCTGTCCATCTCATGACCTGATGGGGGAAAGACACCCAAATTCCAAAGAGCTGACTGAATTCCACAGTTGTCCTCCCCACAAAAATGGCCAGAGTGAGGTGTTCTTCCCAAATGTGGGCTGTGCCCCTCGGAATTCTCCACATGCAGGATTCAGTTGGTCACCAAAAAATCATATGATACCATTTCTGTTCTTATTTGGGTGACCTTCCTTCTATAAATAGGGCCAGCACAGGAAGATATCACCAGGGATCCAGTTCCTGTTTAGGGCAGGGGGTTGGGTATGTTCCTTTTCTGCAGGGGAAAAAAAAAAAACCCAAACCCTGTGTGTTTTTGTGAGACAAACAATTCTAATGC